GACCTTATTCTATGTTTATTTACCACAGGGCTGGATAAACTCACCTTGTTTTGCCCCGTTTGAAGGGCTGGTAGCACACCCGTGTCCCTCCAGCTCTACCTGCAGCTCACTGCAGTCAGCCTCTCCCTGCTCATGCTGCAGCAGCCAGCACGGGCAGGTCTCACTCTTCTGATGAAACTGCAGTTTCAGTGGATACCTCTTCCACCTTTTCTTGTTTTTTTTTCCCCTCCAGTGAGCCTTAATTAGGAGAACAAAGTTGCTGAGAGCCTCATCTTGCCCTTCCCCTCCTTTCCTGCACACACAGTCTCCTTTCACAGGCTGTTCTCTGTCAAACAGCTCAGCAACGCTGACAAATTGACAGTCATTAAACATAAAAACTTTATTTCCCAATATCCCTAAATTACATGTTTCCAATGAAAAATGACACTTGCTTAAGGCATAAAGTGTGGTTCTTGGTGGGTTTTTTTCCCCCCCTACTTCTGTCTTTTCCTTGTGGCGACTTAAAGTAATATTCTTTTTATTATGGGAATGTAAAAACCTCCTCCTTGCATCTCAAATTAAACGAGGGGAAGCTTGCTCTGTGCCTTGGATAATGATTCAGCTATAGATCCAGAAGATGCTTTATTAGATTATTTTGAGGCAGCCAAATGTAATTTAATACCTATTTATTTTCTCTCCCTACGCCAGTCCCAGATAGAATCTTTTCTGCATGAAATTAGTACTTTCTCCTTGCCACCTCCAAGAAAGATCACGCCGTGCTCCTTCCCTGGATCAGTTTGGGGAACTTTTCCAACAAAAACATGGATCTGTGGGGTGTTTGAGAGTTGACTTTGAAGCCAAAACCTCAGCTGGGATCTGTGGGTTCCAGTCTTGTCTTTCTCGTTATGCATTAATGCAAGAACCAGTGATGTCACAGACAAGGGAATGAGATTCCAGATGAGCAAAAGAGAGGCAAAAAGGAAAAATGAGAAGGTTTTGTCCAGGCAGAGGAGGAAGAGGAGTATCATCCCTTTTACACAGTTATCTGTGAGCTACAGAGGGGTCTGTGATGGCACAGCACAAGGGCAAGAGAGCACAGGAGCATCTACAGGGGATCAAACCCATACTGGCTCTGACCCAACCCAAAAAATATCAGATATCCTGGGCTGCCCCCCCAGCAGCGTGGGCAGCAGAGCAGGGAGGGGATCCTGCCCCTCTGCCAGCTCTGTGAGACCCCCCTGCAGTGCTGGGGCAGCTCTGGAGTCCTCAGCACAGCAGAGCCAGGGACCTGCTGGAGCGGGGCCAGAGGAGCCCCAGCAATGCCCCGAGGGGGGAACCCCTCTGCTGGGAGCCCAGCAGGAGAGAGTTGGGCTGGGGCAGCTGAGAGGAGAAGGCTCCAGCTGGGGAGACCTGCTGGGGGCCTTTCTGTCCTTAAAGGGGGACTACAAGAAAGATGGGGATGGACTTTTTAGCAGGTCCCATTGTGCGAGGACAAGAGGTGATGGTTTGAAACTAAAAGAGGGAGGTTTGGACTAGAGAGAAGGAAGAAATGTTTGACACTGAGGGTGCTGAGCCCCTGGCCCAGGCTGCCCAGAGAGGTGGTCGCTGCCCCATCCCTGGAACCATCCCAGGGGAGGTTGGCCAGGGCTCTGAGAACCCTGGGGTTGGACCAGGTGACCTTGAGAGATCCCTTCCCACCCGAATGGTTCCATGAACATCATCAGCCAGAGCAGAGGTGCTGGACCCGAGCAGGATCAGGGGCTTCAATCTCCCCTTTGCCTCTGGTGCCAGCGGGGTGCTGAGCTCTGTAACTGCTCCCTCCCTGCTCACCCAGGGGACACTGACCTTCAGAGCAGGGCGAGCTGAGGGGGGCACAGACCTGCCCAGAGACTGGCCCTGGCTCCAAGCAGCACCACCCTGTGCCCTGCCTGCCCCCTGCTCCATGTGTTCTGCCACCCAGGGGACACACTCTGCTGCTCACAAGCCATCTGTCCATCTGGTGCTTGTGCAGGTGGCACCTCCTCAGTGGCATTTTCACAGAGAAAAGGATCAGGCCTGGAAACACATCTTGCCTGGCAAGCAATTCCACAAAACTCAAGTACAAGCCACTGTGGATGTGGCTGGAGCCCGGCTGCTCCAGTAAACCTCAGCGTGCCCACCCAGATCCCAGGGAAGTGCTGGTTTGTGACCAGCTTTAACTGGGAGACACCAGCAGCAGCAGCTGCCACTCATTGACACCACACAAACAAGACCGGAGCCCTGACTGCTCCTCACCTCGGCCACTATCAGCCACTTCCAGGGATGGGAGCTCAAATGAGGGGAGCAGGACAATGGTTTATGTGCCCAAAGCAGCTTCTGGCCCTTTCTGTGCCACCAGGGCAAACTATGGCTCATAAACATCAGCCACATCTGGGAGGGATTATGTGGGGGCAGATCCACAGCAGGGGCAATTTGGTACTAGCAGCTGGGGCAGGTTTGACTCCTCCTGATGAAATTCACTGCAGAAAGACTAGAAAAATCAAATTTCAGAGGCAAAAAGCCCCATGCCCAGCTGCACACCTCTGTCAGCAGAGAAATGCTCCCTGCAGAGCAGCTTTCTGGCACAGCCTGGCTTAGGTCACAGTAAATCTTTCCCAGAGCATCTCAGTGTAAGCTGAGAGAATCCCCATTTAAACCCAAATACGTAGAGCAGAAGCAAAGCCAGGCTCCCAGGGGAGCAGCCATGGGAAACACTCACTCCTCTGTGGGGTTAGAGCCTGGTGATCCTAAGCAGTTGGGTTTCAGGGAAGTTCTAGCGAAAATCTGAGCATGGTGTTGCAAGACTACCAAAGGGAGAGTCTCATCACCACCTTTTGCCAGGAGGAAATGATCAGGGAAGGGTTTTTCCTTTCCTCCTGCTTCCTGCTCTTCTAGAGAGCAAGGAGAGAGAGTCCTTGTTAACCAAGGGAAACCTGGTTCAAGTTAAGCAGGAGAAGTGAGACACATGCCACGTGTTCCCTGGACACAGCCTTGTACTGCTAAGTGAATGGGATGAAATTGCTAATTACAGCCTGGAGCCAGGACTTTTATGAGGAGCATCACGCTGGGCTCTGAGCACCTGATCCCAACAGCAAGAAAGGTTTCATCTCCAGAGGACACACTCTCCTGAGGGCACAGCACCTCTCCAGTCATCAGACCAGACTGATTAAAACTCCTTTGATCCTGCTCTCCTCCTACTGACCTGGCTTTTCACCCAGCCTGGCACATTAAACTTCACAGGAGGCTTTTTCCTGAGTTTTACTAATATTTTTTCTAATATCCTGAATTTCTGAAGAGACCCTTTCAGAACTACAGTGCACTGCTATAAAACATTACAGCAGCAGCCCCCTCTCATTGCCCTGTGTGGCTGCAGGCACAGGCATTC